TACCCATCTATGACCAAATCCCATAAATCAGCATCATAACCAAGGAAGAAACTTTCTATCCTGTCCTTCCAATAATCAAATTTCTCCCCATCAAACATAGGGGGTTTTGTGTTGATTCTGTCCCTTTCTTCATATCTGTTGTTACTGTTAGATGTTGAAGTTTCAGCCATAATAACAACCAAATATATATCAAAGTTTTTCTCACTGGATCTTTTCTGTCACTGTGAAGTGGTAGCACACACAGAACCGGAGCTCTGATGCCAACTGAAGGTGAGAAAATACTTAGAAGGGGGGGGTTGAATAAGTATGTAGAAAAACTTAGTAATAAAAACTCAAGGATTTTTATCCTGGTTCGTTAAACTCAACTACTCCAGTCCACCCTATCAAGAGTGATTTGCCTTTCTCAAACAAGGACTTAATCCACTATTAAATCAACTGATTACAATAGTAAGCACTAAGAACAGTTGTTCAAAGTCTTCTCAAGAACTACTGATCCTAACTGGATCTTCTTAAGGTTCTTTTACAATCAAATGTAATAATAATACAAGTGTTTAAATTGCTTCTAATAAAGCTTTATCACAACTGTGATTTTCACTTAAGATTTAATAACAATGAAATAGATTCAGCAAGTGAATATAAATTGTATGAGAGCTTGTAATGAATTCTTTCAAGTATTTCGTCAACTGAAGAAGATGAATGAAATCTTGCTTTTATAGGCACAGAGGTCCAAGAAGTCTTTCACGTTGAAGGCTGTGTACCAAAAAGGTCTGAGCCTTTTTATCTTCACATCACATGACCTTTCCTAGAAATAGAATGCACAGAAAAATCCTTTTTGTCTGTGTTCTTATGTCTAGCATAAATGAGGAAAGAGTCGTTTGGTCATTCCAACGGACATAACTTTGAATTCTCCTTCAATAAGTTTCAGCAAAGTATCATAGCCTTAACTGATCAGAGCCTTCTGATGATCATCAGAGTTTGCTGAATCAGAGTCTTTGCAGCAAGTGTGCTTTCAGCGTGTAATTGTTCAGAGCAGAGTTTGGGATCAGATCCTCAGTACTTGCAGCATTACTACTATCAGAGTCTTCTAAAATAATTGTGCTGGAAACTCTCCATACAGAATTCTTCAATGCTTCAGATGCTTCTGGCTTCTACTTCAGATTCTTCTGTAGTTTATGCTTCAGATCCTTCTGTAGACAGCGCTCAGAATCTTCTGGAGGCAGCATTCAGAATCTTCTAAAAGATACTTCTGACGCTTCAGAGCCTTGCATATTTTTCATGTTCAGATCTAATTTGCTTCCAGAATACTATTCACTTTAATATCTGCAGCAAACATTCTTAAACAAATTTTAGAGTATATAATTCTTTAATACAAAATTTCATAAGAGTTATCATCAAAACATAGAGATATTATTAAGAACCAATATGTGTTCTAACATGGTAATCCAAGAAAATCCGCAAGGCGTGTCATCTGCGATGTCATTTGTTGGTTGGATTGAATGGTACTTTGTATTAGGGGATTAAAAATCGTCCCCATTTTTTGGGCCAACATTTGGACCATTTCGTGATTACTCTCATCCATTTGTTGCCTAATAACCGCTGCAGAATTATTAGTCAAGTTTGGCATTTGGGTGGAATAACCAATTCCTAAGGGTTGGCTACTTTGACCCATGTTTATCCCAGATCTTGATCCTTGTAATGGCGAAGTAGCATCCATTACTAGTTTTGAGAATGTTGAGACAATGTTATGCAAATTTACCATCATAGATGTTGGCATTCCATAAGGTTGATCTCGACTGCCTAAAGGCATAGAGAAACCCGAAGGCATGAAGGGCCTACTCGAAGCATTCCCCATTAGTGGAACTTGAGGAATGAAGGGGTTACTAGTGGACCTCTTGGCCTAGTATAATTTAGAATGAGCTTACTATGACTAATCGACTACGTGGGCATCGAACTTTCCATAGATGACATTGGTTCTGACACAGTCGCTGGAACCGTTGTTCCCCCGATCGAAGATACTTGGGACAGTTCTCCATTGTTACTCGATGAACTTTAAGGAATCGAAACATTTAGCTTATTTGAATTCGCCATTCTCCTAGTATATCTTTTCCTTGGTCTATCTTCGTTAATGGTGGCTACTTTATCACTTCTCAATAACATATAATGAAGTTTTCAAATAGAGCAATCAACAAAACAAAGTTTTAAAAAAAACACTACTAGCACTGTCCCACTGGGCGTGCCAATTTGTTTACCGTGAAAATTAGTAAACAACCACTGGTCTTCCAAATCGAAAAAGAATTTGGTTACTTACAGGATCGACCATACTGATCCTAGGACATGTGCTAGTAAATCTTAAAATAAAGTTTGGAAAATGGTAAATACGTCGACAGTATTCATGATCTAACAGTTAACAACTTTAAAAATTCAAAGGAAGTAAATTGCAGAAACTTAATCAAAAGCAAGTAAGTGCATTAAAAATAACTTGGGAAATAAAGAAGATAAACTTGTGGTAAAAAGATAAAACTTGAATTAAAGTGTAAAGATATGGTATTTTGTTAAACATACGTTTTCTCGACAAACTCTTTTCTCTGCACACGAGTACTTTAAGTAATTTTTGAGATTTTGTACAACTTTGAACACCCTCAATTCTAACACTAAGACTTCCTATTTATAATGATCGAAATAACTTCCTCTTACGACCTTCTTTCATAAATTAGACAAGTGACGCTCGACATGTCTTCTTTTCTTGAAAGTGCTCCACGTGTCTCTTTTAAAAATATGGATAAGAGCAAAGTTCTCTCCTTCATTTGAATTCAAATCTTACGTCGGAAACACCAGCAATAATTCTCTGTCGAATCATCTTTCAAGACTTAGAATATTTTCCAAATTTGTTCGGCATATTCTCCTTGTACAAAAAGGTGACTTCGACCCAAACAACTTGGTTTCACAATTTTGTCGAAACTTCTCACAACTTCATATAAATTGTTTTTCTTTATTGTCTCCATTAACAAACTAAGCATCGAATTTGGGAGCTAACAGTATCATAAATATACGGTTGCACAAATTTTGGAGTTTGACATGACATTGATAACATGCTACCTATCTTGTGACATAATTGACCTTGAATACAAAAAATAAAAGGATCTTTACTATTGTTAAAACAATTATCTATTTTTACATCGAAAAATGAAAATACAAACATCATGTTGTATATTCAAATTTGTTGTTGGAAATTTTTTTACTCATTTTTTTTATCGGTCCTGCAAAACCTTGGATGACATTTTTAACAAAGGAGGTTGAATCTTGTCATTGCCACGACACATAGAAAATTTAGGATTAGCTACATTTCAAAACTTATTTTTCCTATCCTGATACCATATATTTTTGCCCCCACATTATTGGTATTGTATTATTGGATCTCCTATATTATAGTAACCTCTTGATGATATTGTATAACGTATAACTAAAATATATATATATATATATATATATATATATATATATATATATATATATATATATATATATATATATATATATATATATATATATATATATATATATATATATATATATATATATATATATATATATATATATCCACATTCAACTATTACATATTCCAACCAAATTCCATAATATTATATATAGTACAACCTAAAAGCAAATGGTCCATAGCAATTACGAATATGTGATGAATAACATCAACACAATAGTTAATGATTCATAAACAACAGTTTGAAGATGTAAAGCGAAGCAGATGAGGAAGAACACGATAAATAACGAAATAAAACCTAAAATAATTGATTCATAGCAATTGTGAATTTGAAATCAAAATAGAACTTGTGGATATCTGATGAATATAAGTCAGATTTGTAACATAGTGAACACTAAGTACAACCCGAAAGCAGAAATTAAACAAACACGAAAAACATCATTAACAAAAACATGAATATGATGAATATTCACATCCCAAAAGTAAATGATTCATATCAATGATGATATGTGATAAATAACAACAATCCAAAAGTAAATGCATTATGAATCACTGTTTGAAGATGATTAGTATTGCAAAAACACTTATTCGTAATAATGAAAAAGCTAACTTTAGTTTCAATTTTTTGGAGAAACTTCATATCTATATGATAATGGCACTTAAAAAACATGTATGAAAACAGCGAAAAAAAACTATATACAACCCAAAAACAGTAATTAAATAAACATACGACAACCTTGTTAACAAAAACATGAATATGATGAATATTCACAACCCAAAAGCAAACGATACATAACAAATACTATATATGATAAATAACAACCCAAAAGTAAAAGCATTATGAATAATTATTTGAAAAGATGAAGAGTATTGATAAAATGAAGCAGATAAAGAACAACACGATACATAACAAATAGAAAAATAAATCAATAGAAAAAGAAAGAAGCTGTACCTTTTGATCTAATGCTAATTTCAACAAATCATACGTTCAACTTGAAAATAAAGGATATATAAGAGGAAATAAATGAAAAATTACTTTCAAAACCTCTCTCAATTACCAAAATACATAATTGAAAAGAAACTCAATCTCGTTTAAAATCCAAAAGCTATGAAACAATGACACTCCAAATTTGACTTTTAACACTATCACGAGCACACTAATAATAATTTTAAAAAAATAAAAATGAATAAGTTAAACATAATATAAATGTCAAATGTCCAATATAATACAAACACGAACATGAAAAGATGTCTGTACTACATAGAACGAGAGAAATGCAATTAAATTCATGAAGCAATAAAGAATGTTAATGACTATTAGTTATTCTGAATACTAGTATTGATAATATTACAATCATCAAGGAAGTGGGCAAATAAAACAATTTTATCATTACTCGGCATTTTCACAATGATCTTAACTATGGTATACTATACATCAAAGGCAAAATCAGAAACAGATATACAATTCCTTTGGATAAAGGGTACAGAAACAAACACTTTGCACAAATTACAGTGCAAATGGGATTGGGGGAGGTTGAACAATTGGCATCTTTGACAAGGTTCCATTTTTAGTCAACATATCTAAAGCCATACTGTCCTCCACAATTACAGGGTTTACTTGCATGACTCTCTCAGGTATGACTTTATCACCATCAACTTTAGCCAGCACCTCAAAATGCAACTTCACAGTCTCAGGCTTAGTCCTCCATTCAGGGAAACCCACAAAGCTAACCCCATCTCCTTCTATCAGCTTCTTCTCGGCCTGAAATCCTATCTTTACAAATGTCTGAGCAGAAACATCCGCCTTCAACAACCTAAAGGAACCCTTTTGGTTAGACTTAGGACCGAGCACAGACGATAACAGTTTCTCAAAGCCCAACAAGTTGGCATTTGATCCGTTTACGGAGGCAAGAGGCCACAATGCGGTAAACTGGGTTGGAGTAAGGAGAGTTGGAGCTCCGTCCTGGAGATCAACGGTAGAAAGGGCGTCAATTAACTTGCCTTTTGATTGGGACGATAACTCCACAAGACCAGGTGCAAGACGCTTGAGCTTCAGCCTGTTATTTGAAGAGGTTGACGCCGAGGAAGGAGCTTCAAGTGATGTAGGACCAACAATGCGGAGTGAGAGAAGGGGATCAGTCTGGCCAAGAGAAGCATGGCGGAGATGCTCAGCCAAGGCGAGAAGTCCAGTAGCAAAACCATTCTGTGTTCGGTTCAAGGGCAGAGGTAAATTAAGAGGATGACGAAGACTCACTGATCTTGCACCTTTCACAGTAACCACTGCACCATCGGCTAAAACCACTTTCTTCAACACCCCAGCCTCCACATCATGCTGCAAATACCAAATCAACATAAGTCAATTTCACATTATCAACATTTACTCTATACCTTATACACCCATCAAACTTCACCATATCACCAAAAGTAAAACCAAAAGTAATGAACATAATTACAAGGGGCAAAAACACAGGAATATAACAAAATGTCAATGAAATAGCTATGGTACACAATTATAAGGTGCCAAAAATCAAGGGAAGATTATAACAGGACTTACAGGGAGAGAAATTCTCATATCCTTAGCATCCTGAATCCAAAGCTCCATGGGTCCAGCAAGCTGAAACGGAGCCAAAACGGGTAATTCATTCCCCGAATCCCGTTTCTGAACCAACCCGTTTTGATCCTCAGCCCGAAAAATCGGAAGATCAACATAGTCCCAACGTTTGGTATCTTCAAGAAGCTTAAACGGAATAACCTTATTATCAATTTCAACATCAAATTGATATTCTACCGAATGTCCAACCTGAGCTTCTCTCGGATCAAATCCCGTAATCTTGATATCATCTTCTGCGGTAAACCCTAACCCTTTCACAATCGATTCCTTCAAATCCTGCACAAAAATTAACCGTTAGAAAAAATGGTATTTATTAAATTGAATTTGGAAGAGAAAATGAATGGGAATTATTACAGAAAAAGCTTTGGGAAATGGAGGATTGGCCTCGGAAGCGAGTGATGAATTGAAGAGAAGAAAAGCGATTACGAGGCAAATAAGCGATTTCATGATGTTGATATGAAGATTTTACGAATCGAATTGGGAATGGTTGAATGAATCTTTTTTCGTGTTTTTTTTATTTATTGGAATTGGTTTGAGGAACTATGAACGAAGGTAAATAATGGGTTCGGATTTTGGAGTGGAAGGTTCTGGGGTGATGACGTGGACCAATGAGAATGGAGAAAGTAATTTGAGAGAGATTTTGATTGGTGGAGATTCGTGGAGACAGAGGCGCGTGGAAAATGGAAAAAACGGGAAAGGTTTTCTTTAAATTCCGGCAAGTGCTAATTACGCGCCGTTGATATCGGTGTGAAATGTTGTTATCCACGAAAATGTAATGAATACGACGACGTTTTCTTGTTATTATATCAGTTTAAGCAAAACCAAAAAAAGAATATGAAGTTCGAAAATAAATGGCTTCGCCCGGACTCGAACCGGAGACCTTCAGTGTGTTAGACTGACGTGATAACCAACTACACCACGAAACCATCTGTGTGTTATTATTGTGCTTGTTCATTTTTATTAAAGGTATTTGAACGAATGTGTGAATTATTCTTACGTGTGTATATATTCTCCAATGAAACTCATTTGACACTTACACATCCAATGAGTTTTTAAAATTTTCATAAAGATAATATGGCAAAGCAATACTCCATCTATCTCTAATTATAAACATTAAATATATTTTTGAGAAATTTTTGTCTCTTTAATAATTGTAAGTCTTCGTCCAATTTACAAAATATATTTATCTTTATCATTATTTTTTTTAAGATAATGTTTATTAATATTGGGGAGCTAGGCTTTAATCTAGAAAATGAATAAATAAATAAATTTAAGATGAATTGAAGTAATGGTGTTAAACAAACATTTTAGACAATTTAAAGTGCAATTTATATACTTATTATGTACTTTTTTTTCTTTTTAATTTTGAACACCGTAAATTGGATACTTCTGCCCCTATTGCTCATTAATTTATATACAATAAGTCGAAATAGATCAAATATATTTTATAAATATTTAAATATGGAATGAATTGATTTTTTTAATAAAAAAGAGCAACGACGAAAAAAAATTGAAATTAAACTAATAGACATGCAAACTTTGAAAATGTCATAAAAAAATTTAGGAGTTTTTTAGCAGGAGATTTTAAAACTAAAAGAGATCTAAATGATTCATAGAAATGCTAAAGTTTGCAAGTCAATCAACAGTCATATTTCATTCACACTAAGTATGGTTGATTTTCACATTTCACCTTGATTTCAATAGTTTCAAATATAGTGAACTAGAATAAGAATACTTTCTTTAAACTTATAATGTTCATATATCATATTAATCAAAATCTTTCAGTCACTTTTCACGATAAAATTAGAATAATGCTCCTTCCGAGTTATGTTGAATCCCAACTACAAACCCCACGTCTTGACAATCAAAATAAAAGTAATTAGTTATAAAATCAAAAGAAACGATGTGAAACCATGCATGGGTTGCATATATGCAGTCCCAGAGCACATGAAACACACTTTCATCCCCATTCTCACAATATAGAAAAAAATGAGAAATATCAACACCCCGTTTGCTCCTTCTATAATTAGTTAGTACGCGCCCATTGTAACATCTCATTTTTATATTATTTACTTAATTGAATTTATGTTTTATTTACTTAATCAAATAAATTTTATATGCATTGGATTGATTAATTGATGTTTTTGCATGTTTATGTTATGTTGGGATTGGTATAGAAGTGTCTAGTTATTTAATTAAATAATTAGATAATTAAATATAATTTAAAATTAAATAGAAATAGAGGTTTTGGGTGGAAATTAGAAGCTATGAGTAAAATAAGGTGAATCGTGAGAATTATGAGAAGAGTTTGGGCAAAATGAAATTTTAGAAGATTAAATTAGGTTTTTAATATAAAAAAATGAATTATAAAGCTTAAGAGTAGTCCATACGTATTTTGGAAAAAGAGACAAAGGGAGAGCAAAGTAAGAACAAGCGTTTGGTTGAAAATCATCATTGTCAAGGCTTAGAGTTGTTTCTCGAAATTAAAGGTAATGAGGGGATTACTCTAAATATGGTGTTAATTGCATGAATGGGCAGGGAGAAGTCCTTACTTTTCATTAGGTTTTTCCGTAATTTTTTCCATTATTGAATTTTGATGATATGGATGAAACTATCATGATAACATGATGTGATTGTTGTAATTATTCTAGAATTCGTGTGTTGATTTTGTCGAGAAACAAGTGTGAGTTGCGTTGAGAAACTAATGTGAGTTCTAAGTCCCACATTACTTAGAAAAGTGAAAGTTGAACATTTATAAGTAAGAGGACCCACACACTTATCACCTTAAGATTTTGAGTGAATATGTGATATCTCTCCCACTTGTTTGAGTTGCGTTGAGAAACAAGCGTGAGTTGCGTTGAGAAACTAATGTGAGTTCTAAGTCCCACATTACTTAGAAAAGTGGAAGTTGAACATTTATAAGTAAGAGGACCCACACACTTATCACCTTAAGATTTTGAGTGAATATGTGATATCTCTCTCACTTGTTTGGGTGAGTCTTTGACCTATAGGTGAATGTTGGACTTAATGTGTATGTTTCCTCCTCTTGATGATCCATCAGATTTACCATGAAAATTAGATGTGTGTATTCATAAGAGTGGTATGAGTTGCGGTCATATTTTTGGCATGAATAAAGTGTTAAACGTGGTAATTAATTGATGAAATTTTGTGTTAATTAATGGGTATTTGATGTTATACTGAATACATGTTATTCCTCTAATGTTTTTGATTGATTTGGGGGTATGGGTGAAAATTGGATTTTTGAGCTGAACTCCGTGGCAGAACACGAATTCTTCTTTCTACAACAGGGTGACGGGTGTCGCTTACGTGGCGACCTAGTCGTCATGCACTTTAAGATGTTAAAGGGCATCAACTGTCTGACGAAGAAACCATCATGATCTCCAAGCAAACGTTGAGCCTTGTCGGTCGTTACAAGGGTGATAGTTGAGGGAAAAGAGTGATGATAGGTGTCACCCAAATGGCGGGCTACCTGTCATCGTGTCAGTGAGTGCATTTTAGCCTACTGAGTTGGATTGTGGGTGTTATTTTGTCGTGTGGTTGATGTTTGATGTTGTTTAGTGGGTTTTGATAAAGTGTGTTTGATTAATTGCATTATTTGATTAATTTAATGGTGTTGATATGTGTTGGTGAATGAGATAATTATGTGATGAACATATAATTGAGACTGTGGGGACTACTTTGATGTTGTTATTTACAGTTAGATATGGAACTATAAATTCGTTGTTAAGTTGGTGTGGTGATACATTATATTGTACATGCATCATATGTTATTTTTGTCGTTGTGAAAGAGGCGAGTCACGAGTTTAGATGTTGGGACTAATGACTTGTCCCAAATTTAGATGTTAGGGCTTGGAGCTCAGATGTTGGGGCTCAGATTTCATATGTTGGGACCTAGTTCATATGAAAAACCTTCGTTGAGTTAGTACCACATACATAAGTTGAGTCGTTGTTGCATTGCATTATATAAAGGCTGTGCAGATGAGTTGTTTTGGGTATTGTTGAGTAATTGTTGTGTGGATTTATGTAATTGTAATGTATGCACGTGGATGTTTTTCCTTTAGGCTACCCTTGCATTCTTTTGCACCATTATATATTTTGAGCATATTTTCATCACTTTATTTTTGTCGTGGTGTTTTGTACTTATTAGGATACAGACGAGCAAGTAGACGAGTAGTTGCTTCAGAGCTCAAGGATGATGTCAAGGTTATTCTTCTTTTATAGTTTTATGTATTTTAGTTTATCGTTGCTCTGATTTGTAACACTAGGCGTACGAACGTTAGGTTTTGTTTTATTCTGAGTTATTGTTGCGAGATTAAAATGTTATAACTCCCGGTTTGAGTTGCTTTGATGTTGAAGGCATATTGCCCTTATTGATGTTTAATTTTAAATAAAATTTATATTTGAACGTATTTGATTGAGTAGTTGTTTTTAATGATTAATTTCGCTGCAATAAATCTAAGTGAAGCGAGCATGTGATGACATGTGTTTTGAATTAAATGTTTTATTTTAATAAGTGTTACAGGGCGTGTTGATTGTGGATATTTGTGTGACACCCTATGTGAAATATTTGTTTATAATTGTTTTATTCCGTATAATTATGCGTAAGGATTTTTGGGTGTTACATAAGTGGTATCAGAGCCTGGTTGGTCCATCTGGCCAGGTTTTATCATGTTGATTTTTCCCTAGTGTGCAACCTGTGTATGAATATTGTCAATGCATATTTCTTCTAATAGTTGCTTACTAGTGTGCAAAAATATGACTAGAGGAGTAACCAAACAAAATATTGATGATGCTTTGAAGGCGATGGCTCAAGCATTACAGGCATATGTTCCTACATATGTTTCAAGGCACAACCTAAATCGAGGAACATATGCTTTTTTTGACTCGGCCTTTTTTTTGTTAGGCACCTTGCAAGATTCAGGCATCTTACCTTTGCTGGCTTGTTGCAACTGTTGATCATGAACCTAAAAGTCATATAAGTTCAATAGTTAATGTATAATAAGATAATCATGTAAATGTAGTAGTGCATGTTTCTTTGATGCAGCTGAATCGGTTTCCCGCGCAATAATTCTCTTATCTTTTGATTTGGATTTTGTAGGAGTCTAAGATCATCATGTAAATAAGAAGATGTAAATGTAAGAATAACTTTCATGTATGGGTCATAAAACATTTGAATATTACAAGGTTCATAATGGTGTTCAACCTACCTCATCATCTATGAAAATGAGATTTGTCGGCCATGCAACATACACTCCTATTGCGTCTCCCACCACTGTTGTGTCTGAAACATCATCTGGTATAGGCAACAACGTACCCCCCTCTAACGTAATATCAACCAATACTTTCAAAAATCTAACAGGGAGCGGTTTATGGTGAAGTAAGTCTCCCACAGTGTTATGCACCTTTCCCTTGCCAACCATGCGATA